CTGCGTCTACAGGGAGTGTTTTGTAAACTTCCTTCAATTCTTTGAGCAGAATAGTTAAACTGCCAGGACCAAAGACCAGGACAAGGTCACATTACACGGAAAACACATACACGTACACACACGCACGCACGTACACACACGCACGTACACATAAATCATCTTAACCCTCCAAGTCCCACCTGTTGGTTCACATCTGCCCTGACACCATTAGTGACTCGTCTGTGCTGTACATGTTGGGACAGCGCTAACAGTAGCACTTACTTTTTTAACTCGTTTTTTCTAGTTCTAGTTTTTAACTGTTTGTACTCTTTTTCCTACCTGTTAAAGCTCTCCTGTACTCTATGTTACATTATTATTCTTTACAATTTCAGTACTTCTATATACTTTTTTTTTTCTTCATTCACCGTTCTGGTACAATTGTAGCCATGTTAGCTTTTTGCTAACATACAAATCACGCAAACCGTTTCCAGTTTTAATTATTTTTTTACAGTTTTGCGGGATGCACAATGAATCTTGCTTTGCTAACCTTTAGCTGCACTCGACTGTTAGCCTCTTTTACTGCAATTTGCTACGTTGTTGCTATTGGTTAGCTGACACTAATGGCTTTAATCTTATTCTTTGCTACTTTTTGAATTACTCTGTATAAATAAGTTATTTTCTTTATTTATTGAGTTAAGGTTTGACAACTTCTTGCTAATATACAAAGTATACCAGTTGATTTCTCTGATAATCTTTTTTGCAGTTTCTGTTTCTTGAATTGCTTATCTTGAGCCTTTTTGTCTAGCGATTTAAAAAAAACCCTTTTTAAGTAAAAAAAAGAAAGAAAAAAGTTATCATTTCAACCATGCATCATTGATCCAATTACTTCACAAATAATCATTAACTATTGCAGGTGTATTAAACTGAAAAACATGAGGAGCAGTTAAAAAAACCAACACACATTTCCTTCAAACCAAGCCTCACATCACATGACTACACAAACCACAAACACACACAGGCTCTCGAGACCTGGTTGACCATCTAAGTATTTGTGCTCACGCCATCTTCCTGTCGCTGCGTTTCCACAGTAATGACAGATGACGACTTTGCTGGTATTCAGCAGTTTTACACTCACTGATTATTATGGGAGATGTGTGTGATTACAAGTAATGACGGCTTCATAAACACACAGTGGAGGCAGAGGAAAACGCAGAATCATGGCATCAGACGGACAACGTAATGGAAAACAACGCACACAACTTAACGGCGTCGTTACGTTTTGATGATATGGTGGGGAGTTTTGACTGATTACTGAGGTAGAGGAGCGAGTATGTGTGTGTGTGTGTGTGTGTGTGTGTGTGATGACATGTCATGTGTTGTCCCTTCCTGCAGTTCCGTCCTCCCCTGTTCACACGTGCAAATACAGAGGATGTAGAATAAATTCACACGACCCTGTGTGTTGTTTTGATGTAAACAATGAAGACAGAAATTCCCATTTGCATGTGTTGGAGACATTTTGTTGCTTTGAGTCATTGTCCTTAAATGTAAAAATGGAAGAATGGACTTTGTAACATTATAACCGTTCTACACTGCGGTTATTTTTCTATTATTTAAAAATGTGTATTCTCCTTTATCTCTATATTTATCTAAGCTGTTGTTTTAGCTTCAAAAGTTTTAAAAATCAAAGCTAGTTTTTATTTGGTGAGTTAATACACAGTTGTGATTGCCAGGCTATATATGGAGCTAGCTGTTAGCCACCTGTGAGCCGACCTTTGGCTACCACTTAATTTATTAATTTTTTTTTGTAGGAACCAAAGAATCAAAAAATAATCTTTGCAATTCCTGGGTTAGCTTTAGGGCTAGTTTTGGCTTTCAGCAGTTTTGTACTTAGTTGTACTCATCTTGTTACTATTCCTTAGATTTATTTTGGCTGATTTAGATTTTTAAAAGTTAGCATTTTACCTTTATGTTTGTTATGCTATATTTCTATCTTACATTTTGTTGGAAAACCATATAAAAACTATACACTTTTAAGTTGCATGACAAAATCTAAAGGTATTTTTTAATACAAATTCCTAGTTGTTTTTAGCCTTAATGGCTAATGTAGCCATGTCTAGAGTGAAGGTTGTGTTTTAGCTTAGTTATTAATAATAAAGGGACAGACCCCACCATAATTCCATAAATGGTAATAATATGGCTGACCTTCTTTAACCAGTGACGAGACGCTTCCTGTGTATTTTTGTAGCAGTTAAACACCAGAAATAGACAGAAATGCTGTGAAACACACAGACACCTGTCCCTGTGGAGAGGCCAGGACAACATGTCACCGCCGTCATAACATTTGCTGTTGCATAATATGTTAAGGGATACGCCAACATGTTGCATCACCCAGTTAGCAAGTGCCGAGACGCACGTATGCCTGGGATACAATGTTGGGTCATGTTGGGTGAGCAGGTGTAACAAGATGTTACAGATGTCCACATCTTAGGGTGTAGGCTGGCTTTTTGTCCAGCTAAATTTGAACAAAAAACTTCAGAACCAACGTCATGATAGTTGCCATTTTGCAATCGTATGGAAGCCCCGGCCTTTCCGAAGACGTCAACAGGATATGACTGGACACGAGTCATATCCAATGCAGACGATTACAACATCAGACCTGAAACCAGATCTGCTGTCGTTTTTTTTTTTTTTTCCGATTTGAGTATTGAAATTAGCTGCTAGTTTTCATGGCTGCTGTTAAATATATTATGGAGATGTAAAACTTCAAGGTAATTTATTATTGCCTTATAAAGCCAAAGCTAGAGCTAAAGTGTTAGCTTGAAAGCCTTAAAAATTAGCCAAGAGATAAAAAAAAAACAATATGGCTAAGAATGTAAGCCACGTGATAACCACGTTAGAACAAAGAAACTAGAAATACAAATAAATACTTTAAACCAACCAAAACCTATCTATAGGTTAGCTCTGCATGTTAATATAAAGGGAATGAATGTTCTAAACCAAGATGCTAACAAATAGCTAGCCCAAAGGATGGAACCAGTGGGATGTGCCAACAACAATTTGGTGTTAAACTTTGCTAGTCGCTAACACTTTTATTTATTCTTTTACTTTTTGTATTTTTGTATCAACTCCAAAGTGTCGTCACTGGAGGTGAGACTGTGAAGGCAGTTTTTACAGTGGTCCATTGGTGGTCACAAAAAAGGTTCCACTCAGTGGGACTCTTCAGTGGAGTGAGGCGGGGGACAGGAAGCACCGGGTGGTGTTCACACCCTTTTAATACGTGAACAATCTCTGGTTCTTTTATTTCTACCACCACCGCCACAGTGTGACGTCTGACCACAGAGGGATAGTCACTGCAGGACCGTGTGACCACAGACAATAAGGAATACAGGAGTAGTCAGTCAAACAGTTGTTTAAGACATCTTTGAACAAACATTATGTTTTCACAGTTATTGTTATACTATTTTTCTTTCCTATAATTTAGTTTTTCATTCAATAATTTTGAATGAAAAAAACAAACAGTGCTGTTTGCTCTGATTTCAAATGTGTTGTTTTGTATAAACCATAACTGAGGTCACACAGAGATATTCAGATAAAACCAAAAAAAAAAAGTTCTCAGAGCCTGAGAAATGTATCTGAACAGGTTTTACTGATTAAAATCAACTGATTAAACGTTCTCAGAATAAAGACAGAGTTTCGAGGAAAAATTCAGTTAAATTAAAAAACAGAATTTTCAAAAAACATTTTACCCTAATTTGATTGAACTATAGGTTAATAATAACATGAGCAAATAAAGGAAATTATAAGGAAAATGTCCTTCGCAAATTCAATTGTACACTGTGTCATTTGGGTTATAGTAGCAATCATGGACTTTTTTATTTAATATTATCTTCATCTTATCCAACTTTGTGAGAATAAGGTGCGAATTTTAAGAACAACTTCCAAAAAGAAAAACAGTGGAGGTGAGGTCAGAGTTTGAACCTTAAATCTCTAAACTCCACAGTCAATTAGACACGAGAACTAAAGCAGAAAACAGACCTGTATTTTATTTCTGATAATGACAATTTCGAAGTAAAAACCAAAGTTGCACCAAGAACAATCTAACTGGAATAAATCCCAGATCCGAACATTTTGAAATGTAGTCAAACCACGGACATAAAAACCAGGAAAAGAGACTCCACCAGAATAAAAAAAAAAAAATTAGTCAAAAATTTAAATGTTTTCCCTTCTTCACCAGAGCTTCAACCTTCACTGGGTCGTTGTTTATTAATGCCCTGAGGCCCAGTCAACCCAGTTGAGGAAACATGAGAAACTGCTCTTTAAACCAGAAGGTTTCAGCTCAACAGGTGACAGAGTGACTCATCTGTATTATCAGTGTATCTGTGCAGCTGTGTCTGAGCTCCTCCTCAGAGCAGAGGACGGTGGAGGAGGAGGAGGAGGAGGAAAGTTTCAAATGTTTGGAGAGTGTGAGCATAAATATATAAAATCTCTTTTGATATTTAAAACTATTTTTTCCCTTTTTTCCAATGTCATTTTTAAACATTTCCTTTCCTCTTTAGCCACGTTAGCATTTAGCTATTTCTGAAACTGTACATATTTGGTTGAGTTTCATGTCTCAGTTTTCTAACATTTAGTTTTTGGATTAAAGATTGAGTCAACATTCAGCTCAAGTCTACTTTTTTAGCCATTTTGTCTAAACATTACCTTTTAAGGCAGGTTTGAGGAAAGATTGAGTCAACATTCAGCTCAAGTTTAGCCATTTTGTCTAACATTACTTTTTAAGGCAGGTTTGAGAGATTGGAAAGCTAACTTCCAGCTAAACTGGGTTAGCTTGTAGCTGTCACTCTCCAATTTTAAGCTATTTTGCTGTAAGCAGAGAGATACTGTAGCCAAATTGATCGTTCCAGCTTTCATCTGTTACGCCTTACTGAGGCCTTTCGAGCGAACAGCTCAGCTTTTCTTATGTATATGGCATTAAGCAGTTGTTGATTTTGGTTATTTATTTATATGTATTTTTACCACTGTGCTCATGCTATATACATTCCACAAACATCAGCATACTTTAGAGGAGGCGGTGGGTGTTGTTGACATGCAGGGTGGGAGTCTTTGCCTCTTTGTCTGCCCCATCTGTCTGGCTTTATCTCCACTTACCACCGCCTCTGGCTTCACCGCCACCTCCTCCCTTCTCCTCCTCCTCCTCCTCCTCCTCCCCTGGAGTCAGTTCACACCCTCCTTTGTGCCTCGGTCAGTTTTCGCCCCCACCTCCTCCTCCTCCCTCCTCCTATGCAAACTGGCAGACAACCAGGAACCTTCCAAACCACGGCAACTGGTGGCATTGTTCACATGCACAGGGCACATATGTGCGGCGTGGCCCACTCGCTCGCCCGCCTGTACGTCGATAATGTGGACATCCATGCAGAATGTGAGCGTCTGCAGGCACTGAACCAGGAACACAATGATGGGCATCAGCGTTGAGGGAACCAGAATTACTGACCTTAATCTGTCTGGAAAATAAAATCTGTATAGCGGAGAAATTAAAAGTCAAAACAAGTGAAGAAGAAAATCACCATCTACAGATTTCAATATATAAAAAAACAATGGCTCAAATTAGGACTGAAGTGAATTAGCGATGGGTAAAACACTCAAAGAATAAAGAAAAACAACATGTACTGATGGTCCGAGAGAGATGAGCTAACCAAGGCTAGCAACATTACAGCTACAAATAAACAACAGTAGGAATGCCAATGGAGAATCAGAAAAGTTAGCAAACCATGTAGCAAAAAAGTAACAAGCTAAGAATAAAAGTTTAAAGCTTCATTAAAGGCAAATAAAATGGTAAAATGAAGATCAACTCTGACCTTAAGAATAACCGTGTGAAGTATTCAAATGTACTATTTTTTTTTCTCTGCAGAATCCAACCTGAAAATGAAGACAGGATTTGAAGGAAAACCTTTAAGGAAACAAGTCAGAATTATGAGGAAAACGAGCAAAAAAAAAGGTAAGAGTTTCAACATTTGATCTCAGTCGCTGTCTGTTTTATGGGAGCAGTTGATAAACTGGGACAGTAAACTGACAGAGTTCCACAAAACACCTGTATGACACAAACAAATACCCCGATGCTAAAGAAACATGCATGAAAAACGCCCAAATTAAATGCTGCCTCACAGTTACCCATTAGCTCACCTGCTGCCCGTTTGTTTTCCCAGTTTTCAACACGGCTCATTTGCATTTTTGCCATGAACGTCGGAAAAAGCAGAGGAAAAATGCAAATGTATTCATGCTCACGGAATAAACACGCTCCAAAAGGCCATTGTCACAGAGTGTGCACACATTATGGCACACAAAGCTACAGGCGCTATCACTCATTACCAGACTCACAGTAGAGTACACAGGAGTTCACAGTATTACTTCACGCTGTACTCAAGGACACTGGTGCCAGTTTGTTTTTTTCTCTTTATTCTCTCACATTGAGTGGAGTGAGAAGTGACAAAAACACAACGGGAAAACCTGGGTCTACATCAGACCAAATGTGTTGTTGTCACTCTGATGTTAGCAGACGAGTAGAACGTCAGTGGAACGTCAGTAGAACGTCAGTAGAACGTCAGTAGAACGACCGTAGAACGTCAGTAGAACGTCAGTAGAACGTCAGTAGAACATTCGCAAAGTATTAA